CCATCTTTGAGCAATTGATATGGAGTGGGAAAATTCTTCATCTGATCTAGTTAAAACAGCAGGCAAATTATCTAAGGCATCAGTTTCCTTATTTTCACTTCTCGGGACAAATTTGATTTTTATCGAATCAAATCGTCTCATAAGCATTGCTGTATGTTCATGATATGGCTTCAAGCCTGAATTATGGACTCCATATTCAGCTAAAAGTTGGTTGATTATCAATTTAGAGTCTCTAAAGACTTCCAGCTGGTGAATATCCATATCTAAAGCTGTTTCTAAACCGATGATAAGAGCTTGATATTCTGCCACATTATTCGAACATTTCTCTGTTAAGGCAAATGAGTAGGGCATGACAAGATCATGAGGAGCGATGAAGACCACTCCTGCTCCGGCACCATAACTTCGGGTTGCCTCGTTGAAGAATAGCCTCCATGATGGTGTGATTTCGGCGAATAGAACTTCTTTATCGGGAAGGTCTTCCTGAAGTTCCCATTCTGCTGGAATTGGGTGGTCAGCGAGGAAATCCGTCAAAGCTTGTCCTTTAATGGCCTTTTGTGGAATGAATTTGACGTCGAACTCAGACAACAACAATGCCCATTTTCCAATCCTTCCAGAAAGAATCGGCCTGGACATTATGTACTTCAATGGATCAATCTTCGAAACAAGATTGATTGTGTGTGATAGTATATAATGACTCAACTTTTTAGCCACGAAGATTAACACGAGGCATATTTTTTTAATAGGCGAATACTTCATTTCAGCGCCTACCAGTGTCCGGCTCAAGTAATAGAGTGCATTCTCTTTTCCTTCTTCGTTAACTTGGGCAAGAAGTGCCCCTAGAGAATATTCTTGTGCTGCAACATAAAGAGTCAACGACTTCCCTGGAACTGGAGCTGTGAGTACTGTGGATGAGACAAATATTGTTTAATGCTTTGGAAAGCATTTTGACAAGCGTCATCCAATTCGAATGGTACATCTTTCTTTACCAATTTGTTGAATGGATGACAACGTCCGGCTAGATTAGAGATAAATTTTCGAATGTATGCAAGTTTTCCTTGAAGACTTTTCAACTCACGTACATTTCTTGGCTCTGGCATGTTGATTATAGCTTCAATTTTTGATTGATCTATTTCAATGAACCGATGTCGAACAACGAAGGCGAGAAATTTTCCAGAGGTGACGCCAAATGCACATTTCAATGGATTCATCTTTAACTGATGTCTTCGAAGTTTTTTGAAAACATCACGTAAATCTTGCAAATGATCGTCACGTCTTTTTGTATTAACAACAAGATCATCCACATAACATTCAATGTTCTTATGTAAAATATCATCGAAAATCTTTTGCATTGCCCGCTGGTAGGTTGGCCCCGCATTTTTTAATCCAAAAGGCATAACTTTGTAACAATATATGCCTTTTGGGGTACGAAATGATGTGAGTTCCTCGTCTTTTGGGCTCATCCGTATCTGATAGTATCCAGAAAATCCGTCCATGAAAGATAAGATTTCATATTCAGTAGCTGTATCCACCATCAACTCTATTATTGGAAGTGAAAAATCATCTTTCGGACATGCTTGATTCAGATCCCGAAAGTCAATGCAAATTCGTAATTGCCCGTTCTTCTTTTTGACAGGAACAATGTTTGCGATCCATGTTGGATATTTCACTTCGCGTATAAATC